TTGTCCTCTAAAATCTGTCATTATGTAAAATAATATTAATGCAACATATATAGTTGTGTACCTTATTATCAGAATAAAAACCATAATTTTCTCCTTCCCAGCCCAAACTACCTAATACATCTTTATCAGGCTTAAATTCTAATGCTATAGATCTACATGTATCGCTACTTTCAAATTTAATAACATCAGAAAACTCAAAATCATAGCCAAGTTCTTTATATTGATCTTCAACAACCTAAAAACATATGTAACATGTAGAACAATTATTAATGCATACCTTTTTACAAGCAGGCTGGAAAGGACATATGCAAACATGTACTAAAAGTGTTGCATCATTAGGTTTTTTTGCAACTGCTAGCTGACACTTTTTATCAGTATCTTCATATGCTATCTTATTAACACCAAAACAATGAGAGCAAAAGTGATTACAATATATTTTGCACAATGCTGCTTCTACTTTTATTTCAGAATCATCATTTGAAGTAAACATAAAAACGCCTTTTCTATAAAATGTTTCATCGTCAGCAGTTAGAAGAGCTAATTTGCTTTTTGATGACTGTGTGGTAACATCAACATGATGAGGCAAATAAAGCTCTGCTGGTTTCATTAGCTCCTGATTAATATAAACCCATACAATAGGAGTGATAGGAACATAGTCACCAAAATCAAATTTATGACCATATAAACATGCTCCAAACCATACATTAGCTGATTCCTGTACTGCTCCTTCTGGAATAATGAGGGTTATACCATACTTGTCATAATGGTACAATAAACCATCACTGTCTACTGGTAGTACTGTCAGATTACCATAAATACCTATAATGTATAATATACTAAACAGGTGTATATACTGGTATGCTATGCATAGACATAGTAATTACCTGTCATACTCTGTAAAACACCCTCATTTATTGGCTTTAAAAACGAAACATTTATACTTAATGGTTCTGCCTTTGTCGTAGAAAACAATGGGTCAATAAGTTGCTCTGTGTTGACTTGTACATCTTGCTCTTCTTTTTTTTTCTTTTTCGGAATCTCAATTTCTGCATCTTTTGCCCTACTCATTTTATGTATTGCTTGTAATTTTTTCTTTAATACCTCATTAGATTCTAAGTACACATATATATTATGGATGTGCAAGCTAAGAGCAAAGAAAATACCTCTTAATTGCTTTAATTCATTTTCTTTCATCTGACTTGCTTGTTGTAAAATATCATTTGTAAATAAGGATTCTTTTCTTTGAGCTATAAAAGCAAAAGGTGTAAACCATATTGAGTTCTAAAAACATACAACAAAAAATGTCACCCATACTAGTTTGGCAAGAAGTTAATATTAGTGCATTGGCATTTTTCAAATATAAATATGTCATTGCTCAATGGCATGTAATTGTGTATGCTATCTAATTTTGTACAGTGATACCTGATGCTAATGATGTCTGTTTTTGTTCATCTGATTGACCAGGTTTAACCATTATATGATACTTATTCAGTGGCTTCAACTCATTCAATACATCATTGATATCCTGCAATGTAGTTTCATCAGGGTTCCAGTTTAACACAAATACAACAGTTTCACATAAAAGGTGAGATGAAGTAGCAATTGCCTCACCAAGACAAAGACTCACTGATACTAATCTGCAGAAATCCTTAGCTTCCTTTTTGTATAACCTAATGACTGGTTTAGCATCTTCTATGTTGAGCTCAAAGGCCAAAACTTCAAGGGGACGTAAGTTAATGATATTGCACTTCCTCTTCACTACACCCAATACTCCACCAATGTCCTCCTCATAATACAGCAAAGGCTTCAGATCAGGAAACAAGTCACTAATAAGGTCCTTCACTTCATTAATATTAACATTTTTCATCATTGTGAAAATACGCCGGACTTTAAAAAATGCAGAACCAAACTTCACTCTCATGTCCTCAAACACTTTCTTCATGTCACGAGGAAAGAGGATTTTATGATTACCATGCTTATTAATTTCTTTGTCATCAAATGATGAACCTTGTAAGTGAAAGCTATAATAATTATTATATCCGTTACTCTATAATGTAAGCTTACTTTCTGAATTAGATCTGGATCTAGTTGCCAAGTAAATTTCACTCTCTTTAACATCATCATCATAATAGCAAAAATGCTTTCCTACAACAAAAACAATTAAATTAGCTCCAAAAAAGTATAACTCACTGTATTCTTGAAAGATAGTATCTCCAATATGAGCAGTCTCTGAGAACTTCCTCAATACAGTAGCAAACAACTCCAGGTGTTTGTAATTGGAGTGAACAGCATCT